CTCTCTCTCTCTCTCTCTCTCTCTCTCTCTCTCTCTCTTTCTCTCATTTTTTCTTTGTAGTGCTGGGGATAGAACCCAAACCATTTATCCCCAGACTGTTTACTTTTTTTTTATTCTGACACAATTTCTTGCTAAATTGCTGAACTACTGAGGTCAGACTTGAAATTGCTGTTGTCCTGCTTCAGCCTCCCAGAGTGCTAGGATTACAGGTGTGTACCATGCCCAGCGGGGTCACTTTCCATAGAGCTATATTTCTTCTTTTCCTCAACACCAGGAGCCCAGAGCATTAGCCTCTTGATCAGCCCCTTAGTACCAGGCCTCCTGTTTCCTTAGGTTAAGTACCAGCTCTCCTGTGTATACCTGGAACTCCTTACCCCTACTTTTTTTTGGTGGTTGTTTTGTGGTAGCAGGAATTGAGCACAGGGCCTTCACACTGAGCTACATTTTTAGCCTTTTTTTTTTTTTTTTTTTCTGGCCTGCTGTTTGAGACAGGGTCTCACTATGCTGGGCCAGCTGGTCTTGAATTTACTTTGTAGTCCAGGCTGGCCTCAAAGTCACAGCAATCCTGCCTCAGCCTCCCATGTGCTGGGGACACCTGGTCATCCCCATTCATTTGTAAATTTTTGTTTTAAGACAAGTTCTCACCAAATTGCCAAACTGCCAAGATTGGGTTTGCGTTTGTGAACTCCTGCCTCAGTCTCCTAGAGTGCTGGGATTACAGGTGTGGGTGACATTGCCTGGTTGCCCTCCTACAGTGTGAGCATGCAGCCTTCACGTTCTCGCCTTGCCTGTGTCTGCTGGTGCAGCTCTGCCTGGCTGGGGGAAAACTCACAGCTAAGCTCACAGAACTCTCAAAAAGGTGAGATTATTTCCAAATAACCGAATCTTTTCCTTCTAATCATAATCCCAAACCTCAAACATACCCTTAGAGTCAGCCCCAGGTTATCAAATTCCCCAGTCCAACTCAAGGAGGCTGAGCCACGGGAAGTCACAATTTCGAGCTTGGTTTGCATAACTTAGTAATTTGGCAAGATCCTATCTCTGGATAAAAAGTAAAAAGGGCTGGATCTGAAGCTTAGTGCCAAGACCCAGGGCCCAATCCTGAGTAGAGCCAAAAAGCGGAAAAAAGCTCTAATCCATGTTGAATCCTGCTTACCCATGTGATAATTTCATTCCTTCTCTCTCAAATATCCAGGCCACTTCTGTCTTCACTCTCAGCTGATAACCTTATTCTCTGCTTCACCAAGACAAATGAAGGACAGAAGGGGGCCACGCTTGCACCCCACTGCCACCGTGCTACACCATTCCTGTGTCCTCTGCTCTCTAACCAGAGCCAACCGCAGGCCATTTCTGTTCTCTATTGCGTAATTCCTGTCAGTGTGTAAACACACTGCTTTCCTCTAATCCTAAAACCTTCATCCAGTTGCCTGCTCAATGACTCCCCTCCCCTCCTCTCCCCTGCCCTCCCCTGCCCTCCTCTCTCCTGTGCAGTGCTGGGGGTGGAGCCCACGGCCTGCTAGACAAGTGCTCTACCACTGAGCTATACTCCTGAGCTGGCGCATCCTATTTCTTGTTTCCTTTGGCAGTGAGCTCCTTAAAATAATTGAGCGTGCGGGACTATGTCTCCATTTCCTCCTCTCCCCCTCTTACACCAACCTGAGTTTGGCTATTCCCCCAGTTACTCCACCAAACTGTGGCTCATCAAGAACCAGATCCTGTACAGCGGTCTCTCACTTAGCTTGGAGGTGACGTTCCAGATACCCTGTGATAAATGAAAATCAGCGAAGTAGTGACATTATGTTTACTTCAGTATGTATTATATAAACCCTTCCCACGCTCTCATAAATCTTTCCCACACTTTTAAAAACACTTTTTAAAAAATTGTATTTGGTACAGGAGCTGGGATTACAGATGCGTGCCAGCATGCCCAGTCTGAATCACGTCTCAGCACACCCCGGGAGCTGGGCTGGCACGGCTCTCCGGGGATCAAACCCCAGTCACTGCACTTTGCCTAAACAGGTGCTTTAGTCCGCAGAGCTATCTGGCTGGCCTTAAAAATGCTTCCAATGTTCTCGTAAGCCTATATAATAGGTATACTGTACACTACTGCAAAATTCTGCGATACAGCGAAAAATCTGTGATAAATAATTTAGATTAATATTTTTTCAAAACCCAAGAAACAGCGAGTCCGTGAAAGTTGATCCGAAAAATAGTGAGGGACTACTGTACGGCCTAGAGTACTGGGATTCTAGGCATGAGCCTCTTACCCTGAGAGGCGGCGCAGGGGGAGTGCAAGTTCAAGTTCTGATTGGACAACTTAGAGATTTAGAGAGAACTAGTCCAAAGTAAAAAGGGCTGGGGCGTGTAACTCGGTGATAGAGCGCTTACCTAGCACACTTGAGGTCCCTGGTTAATCTCTAGTACAACAGAAACAAAACCAAAACCTGGTAATAAACCTTTACTCCTTAAATGTGTCAGAAACCATTTGTACAAGCTATCATGTTGACAATAGGACTTTTTCTTCTGTCATTTCCTGAAACCCACAACCTTTTTTTTTTTTTTTGCGGAACTGGGGATTGAACTCAGGCCCTTGTGCTTGCCAGGGGAGCATTTATTCCACTGAGCCATCTCCCCGGCCCGAAACCCACAATCTTGATAGCCAAAATTCTCTGACAGCTGAAAGTGTTCTTACTAGATTTGGCACCAAGATTTATTTAGTGACAAAATTTGACCTGAACCCGTGGATAGCCATTTAGAGATGTGATCTCACTTACTATGAATATTTACATTAAAAAGAAAATCGCTCGTTTTCAATGACAAGGTGCTTTTTGGGTCCCTCAGTAGAGCTACAGTTCTGATGATACATAGATTACACTTGTGAGGCCTATTCAGTCTTGAATATGGAAAAGCACTTGTCCTGGAGGTATTACGGGAGGACACATTTGAACTTAGAAACCCTCATTGCCTGGGAATGTTTTAATGCTGCACAGGCCTTTAAGCTGGGGATGGAGTCTCCAATCATTCCTTCTGCACTAGCACAATGCTGTTTATAAGGACTTGTGATATTGTTCCAAGGTTTGGACCTGCCTCTGAATACAAATTATATCTTACAGAGTCCAAAGGATTTAAAGATATTGTTAGTGTTTCAGCTTTAATACAAAAATTTCCTACTTTAAGGAACATTTAGAGATTGGAAGGTGAGCTGTTAAAAAAGCCATTATAGAGCCGGGGAGATGGCTCAGTAGAATAAGTGCTTCCCTGGCAAGCACAAGGGTCTGAGTTCAATTCCAGGTTCCGCCAAAAAGAAAAAAAAAAGCTGTTATATATGGAAGTATGAGAACCAGGATTTTCTTCATATTGTACAATTAAAACCAAATGTAAAAATAAACTATTACCCTGACCTTAAATGTAAATGTGTATATCAATTTAATAGTTCTTACTGCCTCAATAAACATTTTAACATGACCCTATTAAATATTTTTATCTTATGTACAATTTTTTTTGATTTATTTTACACACTGTAATCGCTCTATTTTAGTGTATGTACTGCCAAAGCCAGCACTACACTGTAATCGCTTGCAAAATTTATCTGGAATGGGGTTTCTTCAGTTTTCCAATGACATAAAACCAGAAAAGGAAAATGAAAGCTAGAGATTGATAGTTGTATCCTCTGCAATCCTCAGTGAATGAAAGACAAGCTTTTATAAAGAATGTGGATGGGGAGGTAGGAAAGAGAATTTATGTCACACAGTGTCCTTCTGCATCTATAATTTTAATGAGCTCTTAATGGCTATCACTTGGTTGGGTAACTTTGTTTCTATACACTGTACACTGGATTTTTTTTTTCTTTCTTTTTGAGACAGGGTCTTGCTATGCAGCTCCTGAGCTCACTTTGTAGCCAGGCTGGTCTTGAATGCACAAGGATCCTCCTGCCTCAGCCTCCCAAGTGCTGGGATTTCAGTCGTGTACCACCGTGCCTGGCTTGTACACTGGATTCTGACTTGTAGAATCCTGGGCTTAGGCTTCCTCCTCACCCATCTCTTTCTTGATCCAGTCCACATAGTTGAGTAATTTGGTGTAGAAACCATATCCATAGCCACACCCAATGCCCCAGGACACGATGCCCGTGGCCACCCAGCGATCCTTGTTGTGGTCTTTCATTACAAAAACACCTCCACTGTCGCCCTGGCAGGCATCCTGCTTCAAATGCAGGCCCCCTGCACAGAACATGTTTCGAGAAAACACATCATCTCTGTTTTTGCTCTGGAGCCATTTCTCACAGGCCTCTCGCTCAGCTACAGGCACACGAATATACCTGAGGCTATCGGGAAGCCGATCTTCTGTTAACCCGAAGCCACTGACGTAGCCCATGAGGCGTTCCTCATAGAAGGTCTCATTGTCGGGGAGGCAGATAGGGAGAACGTTAGGGCCCAGGGTGACACTATTTTTCAGCTCCAACAGAGCGATGTCCCCATCAAAATTGTGGGGCTGATCCTGGTGGTAGTCTGGGTGGATTCTGATTGTGCGGATAGGGTGGTTTGTCAGTTCCCTGAGCTGTTTCATAACTGTGTGGCCCATTAACACATTTCTGGTGTGGTTACTGCCCTGTCCAGTTTGTTCCTTGGGGTACACAGTGTGGGCAGCAGTGAGGATCCAGCGGTCCCCCAGCAGGGCTCCACCCCCAGGGCCAGGGAGCTCAGTGTACACCTGCCAGGGGAAGTTGCCCATCTTGGCTCTATGCCCACCGATGATGCGCTGCTTCGCTTCCACGGGGTGCACGGGCTTCCCACACACTGGAGAGGGGGTCAGAGGGACAGGGGGTCAGAGGGCACAGGGTCATCAGCACAGCTCCCATGTCCCCTTTCCTCTCTGGGTCACTCAGGTCCCCCTCCCTCCCTTCCTTTTGGTTCTTGCTCTTTTCTTTCTCCTGCATTCCCACACCTGTGCTTAGGCCTGCGGTTGGCTTCTTCCCTTGTTCTGATTTATTTCTTCCTGGTATTTCTCTTGCTGTTTTTATTCCCTGACTTCCCTGCTGCTGCAGTGAAGTTGCTGGAATGTCAGGATGAATGTGTCCCTGTGCTGCTCTCCCTTTCTCCCTGGAGTCTCCCTTTCCTTTTTCCTTATTTCTCGCTGTCACCTTGATATCTCCTCTCTCTATGCCATGCCTTTATTGGGCCTCCGAAGGCTCCAAAGGATACTGAGCCTGGCCAGGGAGCGTCGAACTCACCTGGCAAACACCGAGGGATCTTCTCCCCATCCTGCTTGTTCTTCCAGATGCCCTGGGCGGTGCAGGTGAACAGCCCTGTGGGACAGGGCTGCAGTCAAAGGGAGGCGGCAGGCAAGAAAGTGGATCACAGAGGATGGGGTGCACTGATGGTTGATGGATCAGAGATGGGAGATGGAGAGCCAGGGGGGGTCAGGGCCAAAGTTAACTGGTTCAAAACTATGTGAACTAACATCAAAAGTGCTGGGAGTATCCACACATATATTTATGTATTTAACATGTATCTAAGAAGAGAGAAAAAAAGTAAAGACACTAGACCCAGAAGACTTTGAAATTAAGGTTGGGAAGTTAAAACCTGCACTAGGGCAGGAGCTGAGGGAAATTGAAGGAGAGATCAAGAAACATTGTAAGCCGAGTGTGGTGGCACAGGACTATAATCCCAGCCCTGTGGGAGGGCTGAAGTAAGAAGACCACAAGCTTGATCTCACTCTGGGAAATTGTGCGATTTAATGAGACCTCTTCTCAAAATAAATAAATAAGTGAGCAGGGCATGGTGATACACACATATAATACCAGACATGGGAGGCTGGGCCTGGAAGATTGCCAGAAGTTCAATGAGACCCTGTCTCAAAACACCAAAGAAACTCCAAAGCACGAAAAAGCACAACAACCACACAGAGAGAAAATTAAAAAAACAAAACAAACAAAGAAAAAAAAACACCACTAAACTTTTCTGAATAAGGCTTTCAGGTCATAAGTCAACAGACTCCTGAGAAAGCATGTCAAAGGGGTCTCAGAACATGATACCAAAAGAGATAATGATAATATGCCACCTGCCCTTTGCACAACTTAATGTCTTCAAAACATCTATACTATTGTAATGCTGAGTGAAGAATTCAGGGTAAGGCATGTATCCCAAAATACCTACACTGCTCTTGGGTATCCAAACCAACTAGATATAACATAGCTGCAGAATACGGTAACTGAGAGTTTCTAACAACACTAGGGGGAAAAGTGGCTAAACAGAATCCAACTTCAGCACAGAATACTAAAAAATTTTATTTACAAAATATCCACTTTCTGTTGTATTTGCCCTTAAAATATTTAATCTAACTCATTATATGTGATCTTAGTATGGTTTATAAAATAATGACCAAGTGCCTCTGTTGAAGATATTTTGTTTAACAAATTTTAAATGACATAGCTGACATACCCCAATTTGTTTTAAAAAGTGGGAGAGATGCAGAGCCATGAAAATGTACTTATTGTGTATCATAAACATACTAGTAAAGAAATAAAGTTTACAAAAAAAGAATATGCAACTTAAAAAAAGTTAATATATTTGTAACACTCTAAGCCATCCAGGATGTTTCCCTGCAGTGCTAGAGATGAAACCAAGAGCCTGGAGACACAAGTTCTCTCACTGAGCTGTACTCCCAGCTCGGCCGGGCTTGTTCCCAGAGCTTCTACTGCTGGGTTTCAAATGTTTTGGTGATAAAACATTCATTCCATAATACTGAGAAATAATGCCATCAGATGAGAAAGCAAAATGGTACGGGCAATGTCAGGAGGGGAAAGGAGCGCAGGTACCTCTCTTCCAACTCAGATCTGATTAGTAGGTGAGTGGTTAGGGCTCCTGGCTGAGGTTACAGGTGAAACTACCGCAGGCAAGGCTGACTGACCTCTTTCTAGAGGAACAGTTGGTCAAGTCCTTGTGTGCACAGCCCTCTCTAAATTGCAGGATTCTTTTGTGAGAAAGGGTTTTACTCTGCAGTTTAGGCTGGCCTTAAACTCACTTTGGAGCCCAGGCTGACCTCAAACTCTCAGTGATTCTCCTGCCTCAGCTTCCTGAGTGCTGGGATTACAGGTGTGTGCTACTATGCCCAGCTGATTGTTCTTATTTTTAATCACCATGAAATCTAAGAAGAAAGAAAAAAATAAAGACACTAGACACAGAAGACATTGAAATTAAGGTTGGGAAGTTAAAACCTGCAATAGGGCAGTGGCTGAGGGAAATTGAAAGAGAGATCAAGAAACATTCTAAACTGAGTGTAGTGGCACAGGACTATAATCCCAGTCCTGTGAGAGGGCTGAATTAGGAAGACTACAAGTTTGATCCCACTCTGGGAAATTGTGCGATTTAATGAGACCTCTTCTCAAAATAAATAAATAAGTGAGCAGGGCATGCTGATAACACACATGTAATACCAGATGTGGGAGGCTGGGGCTGGAAGATTGCCAGAAGTTCAATGAGACCCTGTCTCAAAACACCAAAGAAACTCCAAAACATGAAAAAGCACAACAACCACAGAGAGAGAGAGAGAGAGAGAGAGAGAGAGAGAGAGAGAGAGAGAG